CAGGGCATTTCGTGACTTACGGGAGTGACCCCATGGAAACCTCTCCTTGTCTGGGGTTGCAGTATGGGATCAACTAATCTGGGTGGGCTGCTGCAGTGGCAACTGACTGCACCATATGGAAGAGATCTTGGAGACCTCACTGTGTTCCCAGCTGAGATGTGATGAGCTGGAGTAATTCCACCTACTCCACAGGATCAGATCCCGTTTCTGGCTCAAATGCTGTGTCTGTACTAAATCTGCTTGCAGCCAGATTCCTTTCTTTTATACCACAAAATGAATGGAAATTCTTCCCAAGTGAAAAAAAGGAATTTGAAGAATATGCTGAGAAGCAGCCATTGGAATAGAGAGAAAGCATTCAGAAACATTTCTCCTTTGATGATCAAGCAGATAATACCTGTCAGTTATACAAAGGCTTTGTATGTAATCAACACACAAGAGCAGAACCTGAAATTAAAGGTGTGCAGAGGAAACTGGATATAAGGATGGCTTAGAAGGAGCCACAAAGACAAACATTCTGCTATCTTGGACTAATAATAAGTGTTCTGCTTAATATGTTGCTTGCATAGGCTTCTGTTTTGTGAATGGAAACATGTGCAGATGCATCAAAAATATTTTGATAGAGACATAGAAAGAAATTTTTTAATGTTTAAAGTATATTGAATCTCCTATATCAAATGCCACATTAGTAGAATTCTTACATCCAGCTATCAAAAACTGAAAATGTTAAATACTATTATAAAATACGTACTATAAAAATGTCATATATAATATTCATTACACATAAAAAAAGAAATCAGTATGTCTAAGTCAGTTTAATCACAACCATTATAAGGGCTAAAACCTTTTGCAATAAAATCCTAGTAAAATGAAATATTTAGCAGTGCTATATTTTCTCCTTTTTTTTTCCTGCTCTTTCAGTCATCCCATGAGTGATGAGAATTTTTTTTTTAATCAACAGTTAACACCGAATGTGACATCAAACAGCACTTGCGTAGTAACATTCAAACTTAGTTTATCTGTCAAGGAGCAATATGGATGTGTTCAAACATGCTTAGCACCCATATCAAGGGGCATACATTGACTTTCCTCTGTGGAGCATCCAGCCACATACTGCCTGAAAAGATCTGGTACAAACATAGGCTCCACCTTAATTACTGTATGAATTCATTCTTAACTACCAGCGTCACTTCGCTTTCATCCTAATGCTACTGTTGCTTTGTATAAAGATCTCTCTACCTAGAAATTAAAGCTGAAGGATTTTCTTGATGGTGTCATTCCCATTTCAGCTGGAGAAGTTCGGTAAAGCAGTGAATTATGCTGATGCTGCCCTCTCCTTCATCGAGTGCGGGAACGCTATGGAGCGAGATCCATTAGAAGCTAAATCTCCATACACCATGTACTCAGAGACTGTGGAACTCATCAGGTTAATGTCCTTTCTGTGATCATTTTCATCATCTCATTTCAGTCATAATTAGAACCTGCTATGTTTTAAAAAATACCATTTCAACGTATTAATGATTTGTCCAAGGCATCTTCATCTCAGAAGTCATCATAATTAGTTCTTGCCATTTTATTAATGTCATGGAAAATTTATAATTGATGGACACTGCTTTTATAAATTATCCCCTTTAGAGGTTATAATGTGAGTGTTATAATTTGCAATATTCATAAAATTAAAATTGAAATGTAGTGGGTGGAAGTAAAGTATAGTAATTTCACTGTTTGGCAATGACACTTGTCTTTTAAAAGGTGTAGCTTTATAATTCAAAACATTAAAGGGAGTCTATCAGGATTTCTATTACAAACCCTGGTTTTAGAGGTTTATTACTTGGCTCTTAAAAAAAGTAAAAAAGCCAAAACTTGAGACATAGGATCATAGCCAGAGAGGGAGCTTCTGCATGCATTGTATTGACAACAGTATGTTTTTAATGTTAAAGGAATGTGAATCAGGTGAATTAATTTTCATACAGCTTTATAGACTCATAGGCTAGAATATGGATGAAAGACTTGTCTGAATTATTATTTTAAAATCTGCTACGGTTCCTTATAGCTCATAGTGTTGGCTCTGTAGAAATAATGGTCTCCTGAGTAACTAAGGGCTTGTTTGCTTTACTTGAGCAAATTATCAAAGTGAAATCAAGCAGGTTTAAATTTACTTGTAAGTAGAACAACAGGATTTTTCCTCTTCAGTGTGATGTACCTTTGCTTTCCCCAGTGTATTCTGGGAATATCACCATTAGTGTCAGTGTAATTACTGGCAGTTTGCACAAGAGGAAGAAAAGGAGGTAAATCAGGTCCTAAATATTTGGGTTTTAATATGATAACAGTAGTTTTTTAACATGCAGGATTTTAACATGCCAGATTAGCTATTAGAGACTGCCAAAATAATGCATGTTTTACATTTTGAGTAAGTAGGTATTTACATAATAAAATGTATCAAATCTTAAGAAGCTCTTACTCTCAGGTAAATAATGTGCCTGTTAAATATTGGAAAACATGTTTTTCATTCTACACTTCATAAAGAGGAGAAGAAAATCTAAAGACATCACTCGAGAAAAAAATCATGTTCACTCAATGCTTGCAATCCATGTTAAACCCTGGAGAGGGGAGGGCTTAGAAAAGGAGCCTCCTAGCTCTGCTCAGCTGTGCTCAGGCTCGTCCTGCACTCTGACAGCACCACTTCAGTACTGTCCTGAACTGCACAACTGCAGTTGTATGGCAGGGTAAACTGTATCTAAAGAAATATTCTTTAAAGAAGTAAGTGCTTCTTCATATCTTTGTTTTTTAAGAAAACCACATAGCACAGTTGAAAACGTTGCTCCTCTGTCCAGCAGTCTGTCTGTTCAGAGTGCGTGGACATCCAGGAGTCATAACATGTGCACCACTTAAGTCAGAGCATGGCAGCTCCAGGAGCCACTCACAAATGGGCAATACCTGCAGGTCCCCTGCAGTGCTGGTGCTGGATGGAGTCAGCTGAGCGTGTGGCTGCATCTTGGAGTGCCTGGCACTCCTCAGCACACACAGCCCTACTGTCTTGCTGTTCCTGGCACAGTCCTGCTGCAGGCTGTAGATAGACCTTGGCATGGAAGCAGCACCTGAACTGCTTTTGCAACTGCTTTTGGCTATGGAAGAATCTGGAAAACTTTGCTATAGTAGGTGTCCAATATCTAAATAGCTAAAGTCGGATGAGATTAATTGCACCACTTACCACCAAAAGTAGACTTTAACCTACTAACTGTTGCATGCAGCATCTTGTAGATACCAGTGAGCCTGATTTGCCCATTTAATGGCTGTCCGTGGTCAGATGTGGACAAAAAGTGATTGCCCATGTGAGCAGCAGGCTGGTATAGGCTCAGTAACCTCCATGGACAAAGACACAGTTCTTGTGGGCTACAGTGGGTGCTGAATGCACAAACCAAGTATGTGGCTGTACACACACCTTCTCAGTGTGGCTGCTAATAGGGATTTTTACTGTGAGATAACAAACGGAGATTTTTCTCACTTTTACTCCTCCCTTCATTGGAGGCATAGTTTTCCTGTTTTGCATTAGCTGTGTCTGCCCTGAGTATCTGCATCAAACACCTATTTGTGAAAGCAAGTGGAGCATCAAAGAGATTGGGAATATCAGAGATCTGACTGTCAAATGTGTTTCAAGTTAATGGTAATGCTAAAATCCCTGATGTAACACTGAAAATCCCAAGGAGACATATCTTCATGTTTGATCAGATTCATTCAGTATGATTAGAACAACAATAACAAAGAGCAGATGAGATAGGACATGAGGAAGCACATCAGGTGATGTGGTACAGCTGTGAGCTGGGGGCTGATGATGAGGACTGTGGGAGGAAGGCAGAGTGAGAACAGCACAGCCTGCCTGCACTCCATTACCTCCTTGTAAATGAGAACTCATCAAGGCTGCCTGGATACCTTAAAACTTTCTTACGCAACGCTGAACCCTATTACTTATTCTAACACAAGTACCTGTGAAATTGCATTAGGGCTCAGAACAATGATTTTATGCGATGAATTGATTTTCAAGAGACTAAATGCATGGAATGGAGTGCGCTCAGTTAAAGGGAAAAAAGACAGAGGAGGTAGGAATACTCAATCTTTGATCATCCAAATGCTACATAGCAGTAATTAAATAGAGAAGGAACACCAAGTACACAAGACTCATAAATTAATGTACCCAAGAATCAAAAAAACTGTGAACATGACCTTTCTTGTATTTAAAACCGTTTTCTATATAAGATATATTAAAAGCTTTGAAGAAGCATTCATGAGAAGGATTTTGAAGATATTACTCAAGCCCAAAGTATTATATGTAAAACCTTATTATATATTACTTTATGCTCCAGTACATATAGGGCCAAGATCTTACACTTCTGTCCAACACTCATCACAAATGTTTGCAGGACTCAGCCTAGTTGGCTGGATATGATATCATTAATATGCCCAAGAATAGTTGACCTTGTTGGCCCAGAAAATTGGTTGATGATTTACTATAGCCCTCCAGATTTTAAGTGGTGCTTTCCTTGAATTTTACATTGATTTCATTGTTACAGAACACTGTGACCATTAACTGTTGCAGCTGAAGAAGAATACCTATGTGTGGCTCTTACTTTTCAGAGTGTTACTGATATTCTTGGAAACATCTTAACTCAATTTCTTCTCTCCTCACCTTTCTGACAAGGTATGCAATGAGACTCAAGAATTTCACAGGCTCTTCTGCCACAGAAGGGGACAAGAAATTAGCAGTTTTATGGTAAGTCCCTTCGTGACAATGAGAGAAGCTGCTAAAATCTTAAGGAGGACTTTAAAAGTACTGAATTACTTAAGCAGCTTACAGAAGATCATTATTCTTGTTTTCCATTAAACTATTAAAGGATAACTAATGGATTTCTTCAGCAGCTGACTAAACATTTATTCTTCTAATTTATACTCTTATCAAGATGGGATTTTAATGCTTTTGACCACCTTTTTTTTCTTTCTCTATTTGCTTATGTTTCAAAATCTAACCTTAGAACAGAAACTGAAAAATATAGGTCAGCTTTTCTTTTTTTTATATATAGTTTATAGGTTTCATTAAGCAATGGAATTAACATAATCCTTTCCTAATTACCACAGCTACCGATGCTTATCACTTCTCTACTTGAGAATGTTTAAACTAAAGAAGGACCATGCTATGAAGTACTCCAGATCTCTGATGGAATATTTTAAGGTAATCTTCATTCTGTTTAATTTATTGATACGAAATGAAATTCATACCAGCACTGAGAGCTCTCATAAGTATAACTGCGTGACTTAAAAGTCCCCCATTTAACCTGTCCCCTGGGAAATGCAGGCAGGATGGCTGCCAGGGAGTGAGGAAAGAAGTGATTTGGGGGATTTTTGGATTAGTCACTTGATTCAAAGGACCATACTCAGTAATTCTACTAAAATAACATTATTCTCAACACTGTGTAATGTTTATGCAAGTTTCTACAAAGGACCCTGATTCTTTCAGATTTTGAATGTGCAAGTGATTATGAACTGACCCCCAGTGAACCATAATGAAGCAATTATTTGGGTTGTAGTTAGTTAAATTTAGATTTTCAACTCATTGAGATTTGCTGAAGCTTATTGCAGACTCAGAAATTATTCCTTTTATTCTTGTGGAACTTCAAATCGCCTTATCAACATCTTGAAGGTTTGCCTTTACCTTAAATCGAGCAGAGATATGTTGATTGTCATGACCTGGGAATGTTTTGTTTTGCCTTGTCCAGTGCTGTTTGCCCAGTGTAAGAATGACAAATCCTCACTGTTCCTAGATTAAGAGAGAAGTAGAATCTTTATTCAGCTCTGTCAAGTTTCTGATATTTATATTTTACTGGTTAATGCTGTTTGAAGCACACATTAATTCTTGTACTTTATTACTACATATTATTCTATAATTATGTAATTATACTGGCTTGTCAGACCATCAGTCTCTTTTTTTTTGTTGGTGTTTTCAGCCTCTGTGAATTTGTTCTAGGCTTTGACATATTGGTACTGCAAACCAGTGAAGCCTCTTGCACTGCAGTTTTAATATTTTTATGTAAATGGTGATAAAATCGTCCTTCTGCTGTAAAACTCTAGTGCTGTCATGCTAGCAACCATAGTCCTGACTTCCCATGTGTCCTCTGTGTATCTCTGCAACTTCAGTAATGTTACTCCTGATCCTGTGCTTGAGTGGAGGCTCTCTTGCTGCCCTTAGGAGTATCTCTGTTGTGCTCACAGTTTTCAGTCAGGGATTCGCACGACAAATGAAATTTGAACTAGGCACACTTATAATCTTAGCATTTTCATGAAATGTATTCCATCCCCTTCAGATTTTACCCAGGATAAATGCAGATTGTCTCCTAAAATATAGGATTATTAGGCATATAGTTTGGTAAACTTTTTCTGAAGAAAGTAATGATTTCTTAAAAAAAGAAAAGGGGGGATGAGGGGATGGCCAGGGGAGATTGTCTTGCCTTAAAGCCACTTTAAATTCTCTACCTGTGCAAATAGGTGCAATGAGGAACATATTACTACTCCCAGCATAAAAGCACTTTACTGCATCCATACAGCGTAAATGTCTTTTAATGTAAATTAAAATAAGAAAAAAATTAGAATGTAATAAAACAGACAAATCAGGAATTCTGGTTTTAGGCATCCAGTTGAAGCTGAGTATTTGGGCTAATGTTACAGTGTGTGTGCTATGGGCACTGTAACTCATTTGCTAGAAGTAGTATTTGAGTGTCTACAGATTATATGTTCAGGATATTTTTGCAATAAAAGCACAGGAGGAGAAAAGAAAAGAGTGGGAGCTATTAACTACGTGTTAGTTCTGTATTGCTGCACCATGTTCTTGGTGTTCACTAGCAAGAATCTGTAATACAAATGAAACAGATTAGCTGTTTGAATGGAGTTGATATTCAAAATTTTGCGCAACTTTAACTGCGAAAAGCAGCTCTGTTTACAGCAGAGCTGGAGAGGAATTTTTTGGCTAAGTTGTTTTTCATACTTTTCCTCACAAATGCCACTTTGTCCAAATTGAAACCGTTTGTGGACTGAACTGCTTCTGATTAATTTCCAGTTAAATGTTTCAAATTTATATTTTTGACATTTCAAAACAGAAAATAACCATTTAGTCATAAAAGTAATTTTGAAGTTTAGAGGCAACTTGGAGTAAAATGTAACTAAAGTGATACATTTTTAAAATTGAAATCAAACTTTTCAAGATTAGCAAAAGTGACATCCTGTGATATATTTCCCCTAAAGGTTTGAGGAAAATTTGTGTGTTTTTGAAAATGTGTTGTCAATAGTCATTGAAATATTTTTGCTAAATATTTTCATTATCAAATAGCTACCTCCAATTGAGATCTAGTCTTAATCTTGACAGACCTGTAATTTGTCCCCAGATAGTGTCAGGAACAATTCCCAAACACATAGAAACTAACAGCAAAGCTTCTGCTTCATCCTTGAAAACTTTACAGGCCAGTTCAGGATCTCCCTTCTTCCTACGTATGAGTAGGTGGCAAAAATATGCACAAAAATATACCAAAATATGCTCTGTGCTGCAAAACACTCCATCTCATACTCACATCTTCAGTGAAATGCAGTGACACTGTGCAGGAACGCACAGGCCAGGCCAGTGCCATATTTTCTGCTTTGGTCAGTACTGTTGGGCTGTTAGCTGTGTTTGAGAAGTCAAGGGTAGGCTCTGTGCTCCACTGAATCTCTGTGACTCCCATGCAAAATAGGGATTACAGTATCCACATGAGTCTTGTAATAATGATGATAATACTTTGCAGAGAACTTGTAAAATTTGATTGTATTTTCACTGTGCGTGCTGACTTCTTAGCAAGGGAACTGAGTGATTGTTTTCAGAGAGTACACATAGATAGCCTCAGCCCTGATACTACCACTTGGTATGGAAACTAAGTAAGATGCCACTCAGTCTGAGCAAGACTGGAAAAACCTGGGCTTTATTGTTGCTCGGCAATCTTTTTGTACAGGGTTTTACAAGGTGCTACACAGACGTGAAAAGCAGAATGAGTAAGCAGGTAAGGAAAGTCAATTTGTGCAACTAAAATACATAAAAACAAGAACGTTCAAGCAGATCTTTACTAGAATTTTTATTTATACTACTATCTGAATCCCAAGCCACCTTACCTAACAGCTTGGGAGGGATTAATTTCATTAAGGCATCAAGCCAAATTCTTTTTGTTTCTTGCTAAATACTGAAGGTCCCCCTAAAGATAAGCAGTCATTTGCACTCTGAACAACTTGCTTTGTAGGATAATTTTCAGTGGTAATTAAACCACTTCTTTGTGACCTCCATCTGCTTTTACTGAAATTTATTCCCTCTTTCATCAAGTGACTTTCATGCTACTGGCTGGAACCTACCAATCATCCAGCAGCCACTTAATTATGGGACCAATGTGCAGAGCTGTCCTGCTACATGCACTGTAGCTCTTGCAATGAAAATGGGCAGTGTTGAGCCTTGTGTCATCAGTATTCATGTACTTGCCTCACCTATATTTACATTTTGGTTTTGTACTTACAGAACTCTTCAAAAGCCTCACAGGCCCCCTCACCTTGGGGCGGCAATGGAAAGTGAGTATTTGCTGCTGTTTGGGAACAAGTGGTTCCAAGAGGGGGGAAAATGCTTTTGTGCCTCTAAAGTCAAAGGGCAGGCCATGGATCAGTGTTTGGGGGGCTACAGGTATGTTTTCAATACGTATCAGGTAGAAAATGTTCTTCTCAGCAACAGAATTGATCGTACAGCCTTGGGCTTGTTGGTGCGAGGGGCTCCCACTGGACTAGATCAGGTACCCATGTGATCCATGCAGAGTGGGTGGTAAGGAAGAGCTGAAACACACCTTCATCTGTGCAAAACCCCCTTAAGCTTAAAATCAGGCACGGTGGGTCTGTGCTGAATTCTGTGACAGTTTGCTTCTCAAGCCAAATGAAGGCCATAAAAATATCTGTTAATTAGCTAGCAAGTACCATGTCATTTTAGGAAGCCAAAGTAAAGTTAACAACCTTCATTGCAATGATTTTTCAATAATTCGTTCAGCAATGAAAGACCAATGAATATTTCACTGATATATGGTAAGTGCTGTTTAATAAAACTGAAGGCATAATAGTGGAAAAAATGTGAATGCACTTAGCCAATTATCAGTGGGTTTATACTAACGTTAAAACACCCTCACCTCAGCTATGAAGTCAGGGTGATGCAGTTATGATTTGCTGTTCAGTGGAGGTGCATTGCTGCTGCACCTTGCCTTTATCTTTCAGTGTTGCCACCTGACACACATTTCTCCTGCTCCTTTCACCTCACCACACATTCAGATGCAGGTAAAACAGACAAAGGACTTCGCCTTTCTTTCCACTTTTATTTGAGTAGGCTAAATTCTAGGTGAAAATTATTATTGTTAATGATCTCTTTCTGGTAGTTCAGAAGAAGAAATTACTATTAGCCCTGCCAAGGAAACAAAGTAATAAAACTGTAGAAGGGATTGAAGCTCAGCACACAAAGGACTGAAGTTTTCAAACAGACTTTTTCTCGATCAGTGCAAAACCAAAAATTCCAACATTTTGCTTAAAGGAAAATATTGTCTTAGATAATTCAAAATATTTCAGGGTGTACATATATATATGCACACACCCCAAGTACACAAAGTTATTTCAAAAATGTGTGTATAGAGATATTTAAGTATAGATTATAACACAAACTAAAGTGATGAAATAAAAAGTCTCTTTAAATAAAAACTTAAAAGATATTTTAAAACTGGAAAAGCAACTGCTAAATTGAATTATTCATTATGTGCCAGTTTTTCAAGGCTTTTAGATGTCAGTGAAACCTTGTATTGCAATAAAAATACATAAATGTTTACATACAGTTTTAGTGACAAAATAGACCACTGGAGCATTGCATCTCTTTTGTGCCTTAAGGAAGTGGCTTACACATAAACATTTCATGGAGCAGAAGTTATCCTTTTATTCCTGTCCTATAATAGACCCCTATGAAGTATGTGCTCTGCAGGTGATGACATCTCCCTCACTATTTTAAGGAGCTATTAGGTGTCCAGGATTTAGAATAAGTGGGTTTTGACTGGAGGAGAAAATTCTCGTCTGGCCACAAAGTAGGCAGCAGAAACCCAGCCTTCAGGTCAGCATCACTTCTAACATAACACCCAGCTGATCAGTCTCTTCCCACTAACTTTGGAGATAAGGAAGTAAAGCTCTGAAAGTGCACATCTCTGTCTTTTATTCAGGAAAGGAAGTACTTGACATGTAAGGATAACTGACTATGACAAGGCCTTGTTATAACAGCGTTATTGTGACATCTGTGACCCAACACACAAAGACCACAGTCTACACTCAGGTCTTCTGTCCCCTCTGTCTGGAGTCTCAGAAGAAAAGCTCTCCAGCTGTCTCAGAATTGCCCTATATCTCAGGTGTCTCCTGGTGGCCCCAAGGTTTGTCACAGGCCTGGTGCTGCCACTGGCAGCATGTGCCCTGCCTTCCTCAGGGCTACTTGCTCTACAGTTTCCTTATTCCCCTGCGACTTTGGAGCAGATGGGAAGATAATTCACACACCACATAGAGAGGCAAAACATTATCAGGGTATGGCACCACTGGATATGGAGCAGCAGCCTGGTTCAGAATGGGGAGACAGTAGGGTAATCTCAGATTTATTTTTTTTTAATAAAGCAAAACTTATCCATTGCCATGAAGTGTAGTCTGCTCGGGATCACAAACCATCTCAGCTTGGCTTACTGGAATTTCTGCCTATTCTTATTTGAAAGGGTTGTGAACCTCTACAAAGTTGGCCTGGGTTCCAGGCTGGCAATGAAACAAATTTTCCCTGGTTTCATTACAGAAATGTTTCCCACCTCTAGCGACAGAAAGCACAAAATACAGAGATTTAGTAGACTCACCGCAGTAATAATGGCTGTGCACAACAGGGTAAATCCAATGAACAATGTGCTTTATTTGGCAAAAGTGCGTCAGCTGGTTGTAAGTGGCTCTAACAAAATACTCTTGGTCTCCTCAGATACTTATCATTTTTAACTGCTCCCAGACCTAATCTAGTATAGTTCAGCTCCTCTGTACATTAAAGACACTGTGGTGTGTCAGGTTACCAAGATGTTTTGAGACTGAAAAATAAAAAGATTCACTCATTAGGATGTGCTTAAACTCTACCACATAAGCTGAATAAAAGGCTGCTAGCTGTCAAATTGATGTGGTCTCTAGCTCTGGAAAAAGAATGTATCACAGCAGCCTGTTGTTGAGCACAGGTAATAGTGGGGGCACTGCTGAAAATCTGCAGCAAAAGCTGTTACAATCAATGCCTTTCAGCCCAAGGCTGTGCTATGGTGGCAGTCTGTCCTGCAGCACCTGCAAGGTACCAGATCTGTGCCCATGCAGGACCATTGACAGTAACTTGTAAAGCCAAGAGCACAAGCCCTTCTATCCTGGGCTGTGGTTCAGACCCATAATGAGTCTGAGTGAGCACAGCATGAGGCATCTGCAGCCACCTGCCAAGAGAGGGGTTGCAACATCCCTGTCGTGGAGAGTTTTGGTGTCTTTGCTTCATGCAGAGAGTGCCAGGAGTGTCTTGGTCCTGCATCTGAAGTGTATTCCACAGCAAATAGAATGCTTTTGTTTAAGTAAGTGGTTCCAAATGGATGGAGTTACATCCAGCTGGGGACGGTCACCAGTGGTGTTCCCCAGGGCTCAGTACTGGAGCCAGTCCTGTTTCTTATCTGTAGCAATGATCTGGATGAGGGAATCGAGGGCTCTCTCAGTCAGTTTGCAGATGACACCAAGCTTGGTGGGAGTGTTGATCTGCTAAAGGGTAGCTCTTGTTGCTTCTCTCAAGTAACAAGCGATAGGACAAGAGGAAGTGGCCTCAAGTTGCACCAGGGGAGGATTAGATTGGAGATTAGTAATCATTTATTCACCAAAAGGTTTGTGAAACACTGGGACAGGCTGCCCAGGGAAGTGAAGTCACCATGCCTGGAGGTATTTAAAAGAGGTGTGGATGTGGCACTTGAGGACTTGGGTTAGTGGTGGGATTGGCAGTGCTGGGTTAATGGTTGAACTCAATGATCTTAGAGGTATTTTGCAACCTGAACAATTCTATGACTCCATAAATTTTGAAATAGAATAGCTGTTTTGTGAGCATTGACTGCTGCACAGCTCTAAACAAGGGCTTGCTGTGCTGACCACTGCATTGCCTGCAGCCAGCAGGTGATTCCTAATTGCTGGTGCTAGAATTAAAGGAAAATCTATATTAGAACATTAGTACTGCACTAAGTAGGTAACTTAAAACACTTTTCTGTACAGAACTGTGCGGGTGAACTGTAGGCAATTAGAACAAATCTCCATAGCCTTAAAGAATCCTATAGAGATATTCATAATCCTACAGTACCCTCAGGTCCTAATACTGCTCTGCAGGGTGCTTTTAAGACTTGCTCTTTACTTATTGTGGTGACTGGTTTTGGAGCAAACTGTCATTGTGGTTTCCACAAAATTCTTTGATAATAAGCCAATATTGCACATTGAGTGTTTTCTAACTGCCATTGCAGCTTCTGGCAGCAGGTAGAAAAATCATTACAGCTATGAGATGCCTCTTTCTCTGAAAGATTGCTCTATTTTTATGATAGATTTTTTTTTAATAACAGGTTCATTTAAAGGGAGAATTAAATCGCTATTTATTTTCAATCATTCCCAGTTTATAAGCTCTCCTTTCTCATGAAATCAAGAGATACCACTGCACATTCTCCCCTGACTGGGGTGCAGAGTTACCTTTTCAAGTGTATTTAGGATGGCAGTGAAGTGGGCTGTGTGAGGGGAACTCACTCTCCCTTTACCTCTCACAGGAGCACAGAAACACCATCGCCCATGTCCCTGAGCCCGTCCCCCGTCAGCTCTGCTGGAATCAGCACGGGCACCGCCAGCTCCTCCTCAGCAGGGACCATCACCATCCCTCAGCGCATCCACCACATGGCTGCCAGCCACGTCAACATCACCAACAACGTCCTGCGGAGCTACGAGCACTGGGACATGGCTGACAAGCTGACTAAGGAGAACAAAGGTGCCCCACTCCACTTTTTCTTTGTTCCCTTTGGCTTATCAGCTTTAGTTTTCTCTCTGTTCTCTGGATTTGGACCCAGAACCACCGCATCTAAGAGCACAACTGTGACAGCTTGAGCAAACAGACCAAATCTGCTTGCTGGTCGCTGTAGCCAATGCTTATCTTCTCTTGTCAAGCACAGAGGGGGATGTGTAACACACGCTGAACATGGGGTTATCAGAGCAGCTGGCAAATAATTTAGCGAACATGAGCCCCAAGTGATGAGAGCTTTTGAGTCTGCAAATTCGTTCACAGTTTCAGCCTCTCGTAGAGCACTGAGGTTATTTTAAGACTGCTCTGTCGATGGGTTTAAGACTATTAAAATGCTAGCTGGGATAATAACCAAACATTAGATGTTATGTTTATGCAGTGAGTCCGATTTGGAGATGTCCACTGAAAGCCATGACCTTGACTCTCCTATGGTTGGATTGCAAATCTCCTTGTTGATTCCTAATAACAAAATGTAAGTCTTT